TGCACAAGCAAGTTCCGACCGCACCGAGGGATGTCCTTTTGTCTCATCGCTTCACACATTTTCTATTTCCTCTCGTCTTACACGTCCGAACACGCGCGATCAATGGATCGAGTTTCGAAGATAAACGTTTGAATTCGCGGACTTTGGTTTTTGCATGTATTGAACGGAGATTATCCGACCGTCTCGACGGGCCGGCGAAGAGCGCATTTGGAAAATACGCTCCAGTAAATAAATTCAAAACGCTCACCGAATCTCTCTCTGCCTCTTTCTCTCTCGACGGCGACGGTGGGACGAACGGATGCTGCGATTTCACGCTGCGGTTCCACGTTCCAGCCGTAACGGGATTCCACAGTGACACAGGATCCTCGCATTTGTTTCCGCCACCCAACGTATAATCCTTATTCTCTGTAAATATATCAATTCAGTTTACAACAAATAGCCCGCTACGTCTCATGAACGGATAAAAGGCGTCGCTCAAGAAACCATAACTGTCATCTTTCTTCCTCTTCTCTCCTACTCCCTCGCCTTTCCTGTTTCTCTTATTCTCTCTCTCTCTCTCTCTCTCTCTCCTCTTTCTCTCTCTCTCTCTCTCTCGTCTTCTACTAGTCGAGTCTTTCCTCAAAAACGTGGGCGCGATTCATATTGTAATTTCGACAAGCAGGATCCATTTGTCTTGCCAGGCACGATTTTACGGTAAATTCGTTATCCCTGGAATAGAGAGAAAGATGGATGGATGAACAGAAAGAGCGAGAGAAGGGGAGGGACGGGGAGGGACGGAGGAGAGAAAGAGGAAACACGGCTCTGCCCGCCGAATCGTGACGCGACACAGCGAGTCGTTTCCGCGGCGATAGAACGAAGCATTGTTTAAAGCACGTAATCCGCCTCGTTATGGGAGTCCTTTGTGGCCAGCTCTCTCGGCGTAATTGTCAGATTCGCTTAGCGTCGGCTCTGACACGGGAGTCCTTGAAGAGGACAAGCGTCGATCAAGAAACCGAGTCGGAGCCGAGCCGATCGTTTCGACGCGTTTTCTTCGAGACGAGGACGGGCACTTCGCACTTTTTACTTCACTCTCTTCTTTTATATTGGTCTAAAGGACGCGCGCGCGCAGGAGATGTATATTATTATTTACGTTTGTAGTGCCATTACGCAAGGCGAGAGATGTCCTTTCTTAGGAATATTAATACGCTTGACAACATCGAGGCTCTTCGCACGCGAGAGGATCCGCGACCGTTGAAAAATGTGCGACGCGCTGTCGCTCGCGGCGTCCGCGAAAATATCGAATGTCCTGCCGCTGATGATAATATGGATGCCCGTCACCGACGAGAAATATGGCGCGGCCACTTTGTGGAAATTCATCGGGGCCAAGTCGAGATTTCGCAGCGCGCGCGGGATTTTGCGTCGCGGCTGCGGAACGACGACTGTCATCGACGCCGGTTTATTTGCCGGGGGAGAATCGCCCAGAGCGAAGCAGTCGTTGCCATCTGGACAGCCTAAATATTTATGCCGTGAGCGTCTGCGTTCGAGGACACTCGCCCACCGTGAGGACGGCGTTTAAGGTTTAAGGGCCGAGCGGATATTCGGGGCGAGTATTCGAGGCGGGTAATCCGCTTGCACTTATAGCGCCTCTATAGCTTGAACTTTCGCAATTTGCGGGAGAGATCCCCCCCCATCCCTTCCCACCCTCCGACTGCATGTTCAGACCGCTGAATGTGCCCCTTTGACCCTCAAGACTGAAATAAGGAACAGGTAAAACGCGCTCAGCAGCTGGCACTCTTGCGGATTTCATAAAATATCAAAATGTTAGAAGTTAGAAGTAAGAAGAAATGTTAAAGTTAGAAGTAAATAAACAAGTAAATAGATAATAACACAGAAAAGTAAAAAGTAACATAAAAATGACGGCAACAAACTGGCCCGTGCCAGCGTACGCAAAATGTACTTTTGACAAATGCAACTTCGTTGGCTCCTACCGTGTCCTCTGACTCCATAAATTCCCCAAATAAATAAATAAATAATAATGAATAATTAACGAACGAATGCCACCTATCATCCAAGCTTGTTTCTCCAATAGTTCAAATTTTTCACATTTTTTTTTCACATATATTTTTAGCATATTTGGTATTGTTGGACTACTGAAATGTTCGTCTAACTGATACGTCAATTTTTAGAATCATTTCAAATAAACAATTTGTTATTAGTAAGCATATACTGAACAAAACTGTCGTTTACAGAGAATAAATTCGTTTATATGAACTTTTAAGTAATAACATATACTTCAGAATCATTACCCGGGGTTTTTGGGGCCGCCGAATACAAATTCGATGTGAAAAATACAAAATTCAAAATGGCGGACGGAATTTTCGAAATCAGTTGAATTCGCTTGAAACTTGTACGGGGGTTTCTGAACTCGCTGAATACGAATCCAGTGCGAAAAATCCAAAATCCAAAATGACGAATCTCATATGGCGGATATAATTATAGAAATGAAATCATTCAATTTGAAAACGGCTCTGGATTAGATTTTTTTATACTGTAGATATTCTATAATCGTTCGAAGATCTTTAACTTGCTCTTTTCGATAACAAATTTGTAATTAGCAATCTCGCAGACTCTTAAACAGCAAATTTCAAGCGAATTCGGCTGATTTGGAAAATTTCGTCCGCTATATTGGATCCGCCATTTTGAATTTCGTATTTCTTACACCGGATTTGTATACAGCGACCCTAAAAACCTCCGAGTAACAAGTTTCACAAAATTACATCCATTACAAAAAAACATGCAACAAAGGATCAACGCATGGGGGCGATTCTTCAGGGTGACGCTTTTCGCTCGCGAGTTGCCCTTGGAAACAAAAGCGCGCGATTGCGGGACAAGGGGCCGGGGGAGGGAGGGGAGGGGACGGGGAATCATGGCTGGCACCTACGGCACGGAGACCAGGTGTTCGAGATTAACAGACAGACTGAGCGATCAGCTGGCGCGGAAAAGAGCGGAATCGTCGCGCTCGATACGATTGCCCTTTCCCGCCGGCGGACACGTGCCGCCTCTCTCGTCTATCGCGAACCTTACACGGCCACGACCGGTCGAACCGGACAGGCGTGTGTTGCGGATGCGAATGCGTCTAAATTTAGTGATTTCGATCGAAATATCATTTCACCGCGCTCGGCTTCGCGGCTCGCAAGACGCATGTCCAGTTCGTTTCTCCCGCCCGCTCAAAGATCGCCGCATCGCGATCGATCGAGAGATCCCGCATGTGTTTAGGCTGCGCGTGTTTGTGTGTGTGCAGGAATGCAACGATAAATCGATAATATCGAAATATCGAGAGACAAATATCGAATATTTATCGATACTTTTTGTCTCCGATAAAATCGATATATCGATACGAATTTTACTGATATTTTATATTTTTCAGTTACAGCTCTGGGGACTTATTACGATTCTACGACCGAGATGCAAATTACAACAGTGAGTGAATTCACTGGAATATATATTATGTAATTGGTCGATGTCTAGTAAATTCGCTCATTTTCATCATTTTCACCTCGATCGTTGAACCGTAATAGACCTCCTGCTCCATGTATGCGGTGATCCCGGCAAACGACTGCGGTTGTATTATATATTTTCTAATAAGAATATGAAGAATAAATTATATGAAGACAAACATTTTTAAAAGATCTTTTTAAACTTTTCGTGTATATCCTTTATACGCATACCCCTATATGTATACATTTTTTTATATAAATATCGATATAAATATCGATATTTTTCAAAATTATCGATATTATCGTTATCGATAGGGTAAAACTTTGGAATAGGACCTTTTCCGAATTTTGATATATTTTTGCTACTTGCTGGATAAAAATCTTTGTTGTGATTACGACAATGATAATCAATGGGGAGAGCCCGAAAAAATGTTACCGACCTATTTTTTTCAAGTTTTTTCGGATCTTATAAAACTCTGAAGGAAAAATGCACCAAATTTAAACTATTGAATAAAAGTATAAACAACTCAATAAACTTTAATAAACCAAAAACATAAACTATTCTTCGCTATAATTTAGACTTTACATTATAATAATATAAATTTGTGCTTTTGATTAAACCAGCATGATTGTGAATAATGCTCTGCTTTATTTTGTTTGTAATTTATCGTACGTCCTACCTTGCGTAGGGGTCTTGCTAATCTCTTCAATATCCATTTTTAGTATATTGTAGACTCATCATCTGTCCAAGGCGAAAGATTCGAGTAATAACTGCGAACGGTATTTAATCAGTATAAAATCGATATTTAAAATTTTAAATATATGGAATAAAATTTTCATGTTATTTCCTGTAAAGATTTCAGCCACCCTCTCCCCTCCCTTAATATATATGTAAAACTTTGAATACATGTTTTTTACAGCTAGTTTTGTAAATTACTGAACAAGAAAACGTAGTTTTTGGTATAATAGTACCTCTGAATATTTACCAAAATTGTTCAAAAAATAAGCGGATAACATTTTTGTCGGGCTCCCCCGATTGATTATCACTGTCGGAGTCACAACAAAGATTTTTTACCACGAGAGTAGCAAATAAATATCAAAATTCGGAAAAGGCTATTCCTATTCTAAAGTTTTACCATCGATGGTTCTGAATGACGACAATATCGTTATCGATATTTTGCAAAATCGTTGCATCCCTATATGTGTGTGTGTGTGTGTGTGTGTGCATCGGCAAACAACGAGTAAAAAAGAAGCCGACTTAGGGAGCGGGTTTCTCATGAGCGTTACGCGCGGCCGTCGTGTCGGCTGGACTCGGCGGGAACGGCCGCAGGTTTCCTCGCGCGTAGCCATGTCCAATCGATCATCCGGCGTGCGCGATCGCCTCGAGAACCATTCTCTCGCGCGGCAGTTACGCAATCCCTTCGCGCGGTGCGCGAGGCATCGAGAGATAGAAGCCCGATTCGACGGGGACGCGCAGTTTGTTCGCGCTTCTTCGGAAGAGAACGACGACGACGACGACGACGACGATGATGACGATGATGAAGAAGCGCAAGAACAGCAAATACGGCGGAGTCGCGGGACGACGGAGCGCGCACAATGTTGTTGACACTCGGGGTGGCGATCGCCGCCGCGCGGCAGGTGGCGCGCGATTGGCGCTGCTAAAATTGCGCCCGGGCCGACGATTGGCCGCGCGCGCGCGCGCGGTGAAGCTTAGTCACCGTGCCGCTTTTGGAAAATTGGCGCGCTGCCGAAGAACCGCCGAAACCCTCGCGAAGGGTCTCTCTCGCCCGACGACGCGGCCTGTCCTGCCGCGCCTCTTCTTCTCTTTGTGCCGCCGCGCCGGTCCTCCGCAACCCCCTCTGGCAGCCCTTGCTGCGCCGAAGCGCGCCGCTTGGTTCCTCGCGCGAAGGCCGAGGTGCAGTCGACGGGGATTCCCGGGGTCTGAAAGTTCGCTCTCGACCGGACCGATCCTCGTCCTCCCCCGGCTCGGAAGTTCCTCCGGGAGAGCCGCGCTCATGGCGACGCAGCTCGGCACAATGGCCGCCGGCTGGATCTGGATAATAGGTGCGTTGATTAGAACGACGATAAACGAGGATACGAACCGGCCGCCGCGAGCACACCGTTCCCACCGGCTCTCTGGCCGTCTATTTTTAATCGCTTTTCAGACGCGAACGAGGCGTCGCGCCTCGTCGCGCCTCGCCTCGCCTCGCCAAGCCTCGCGCCGCGCCGCGTCGCGTCGCCCGGCCGAAGCGGAGAACGACGGAGCGAAGAGGAAAGAAAAGGACGCGAGGCTCCCGAGGAGGTGGCGGCGGCGGCGGGCGGCGGCGGCGGCGGCCCCGCGGAGCCGTCAGGCGCCGATTGCGACATCGAGTCCAGTGTTTACGAGGCGAACGCGAAGGCTCTCCTCCGGCTAAAAGGGTCAGTGAGCCAGGGTCACCGTTTCGTATCCACATGGCGCTCGCGCGTGCGAACTCGCGCGTTATATTCCTATTGCGGCTACGCATTGCGCGAAGGCCAGCCGTTGTTGTGTGAGCCGCTCGCGCGCGCTCACCCAAGGTGTCCTCTCTCGGCTCTCTGCTCTCGAGTCTTCGAGCGGGGAACGGCCTGCCGCCTTCTTCTCCTGCTCCTCCTCCTCCTCCTCCTCCTCCTGCCCAATCCCCGCGAGACCGCGGCTCTGAGATATCGCGGACCGAATCTCGCGGGTGTCGTGGTGCTCGCTTGGGAGCCGTTGAGTCGCGAAATCGGGAAACTGAAGTCTGCAGCGTTGGGTAGCTGAAGGCCCTTCAGCGGAAGGTTCGCGAGAGAGCCGCGCAGGGATGTTGGCAGCGAGCAATTTCTTCCGGTTTCTTTCTTACGGGGTGGATTTTCGGGTCGGTGGACGAGGAAGATCTCACCGCGAAGATTGGTTAACCCTTAAGAGCTAAAAAACCCTTAAACTCTTAAAAGTAACCAAAAAAATCGCTTTAATGCTCTCATGACTGAAATTTCATCCCGGTAGGTATTTTTTTATTTTAGAAATAAAAAAGGTCAAAGAAATGCAATGTTTTGTTATTGAATATTAGATGAGAAGAAAAAAGGTTGCAGCGGATAGTTTAACAAGAACGAAACAAAATGCGCACAGGGTGAAGTTTCACCCATGATAGCCTTTAAGGGTTAGTGAATTGGTAACATACGTATCGAGTTAACCCTTATGTTAATGTCAATTTGGCTCTTTTTGAAGCTAATTTTGAATGGAACTAGTTTTCCTGCAAACTGCAATTAGCATATCGATTTACAGTAATCTAATTAACCCTAACATCGCTTTTGAGTTTTAAAGTAAACGTCCGATGAAAGTCAAGTTTTCACCAGATTGAGAAGCTGGACCAATTAGGCTTCCGGCTGCGTTTAATTTATGGCATGTTTTGGATTTAATGTTAAAACCTTGTAATGTTTCTTTTTTTTCAGAAATGGCTAAAATACCATTTGGAGACACGACAGTTTGATTTTGTTTTTCTATCGATGGTCTGCTTTGGAGAAGAAGGACTTTGACGTTCGGTTTCTAAATCCGATTCAGTAATCAGTAATATGCAAAATTCTGGATAAAAAAACACACGTTGTGGATAAATATGGAGTCACCTCAGCTGATTAAAAAAAAGAAAGAAAAACAGCTGCGATGGTCGCAAATCACGACAATGTCACGAATCGGGTCACTGACTTTCGGCTAAATAATTAATGATCTGTCACAATTGATTGTGTGAAAAGAGTCTTAATATAAATCCGTTTTACTTTTATAAACGTTCACTATGCAACCAGTCATGTGTGACGCATCGATTCTCACGAGAAACCGATCTCAGGTACGTGTACATATGTGTACGCGTGTGTGTACGGCAGCGATCATTTTTCATTCTACGTCCACACAAACAAATTGATCTACGCGTGAGTTTTACACACTATTACGTAAAAAGTATATAGGGTGGTCTATAGCGAACTGTCCTTCTGTCTATAGCGGCTGTCGGATTGTGTGATTTAGTCAGCTCACTTCTATGTTTTACATTGGATCAGCAATATGCGATTGACAAGTGCGATTCGCGATACGAATGTTAGCTCGTTTCATCAGCTTACAGCTTTAATTTGTAACACGCAGTTGCTGCTCACGCACGAGATACGTAGATGAATGAGAGCCGCGATGCAAAAGCGCCGATCACTACGCTAGCCACCGTGCACCGAGAAAAAGACTTTTGTTGTCACAACAAATGAAGGTTTGCTGTTTGACAATTGTACGGAGAACAGATCAAACAGTCACCGCGGTCAATAATTTTTTTTTTTCGTTATTTGTAATTTTAACAGATATAGTCGTTGGAGATGCAAATCATACATCTTTGTTGGACGTGCAACTTCCGATGAAAAGAATGGTAACGTCGTAATAGCGGAATATATAGGGTGTCCGGGAATTTTTGGAAATGAAAAAATTAAAAAGATTGATCACATCAAACTGAGAGGAAAAGTTAAGCACGATTTTGCGAAAATTGCAATAATTATTAAGTTATTAATGATTGAAAATTTGCGTACTTGTTTGCAAAATGGTATTTGACTTTTCTCCTCAGTTTAATCTGATTAATCTTCACAATTTTTCGTTTCCGAAAGATCCGAAAGACACCCTGTATAGATAAAAGCATCTCTTAAAGTGATTTATAAGCTTTTTTAAGTAGCTACCAGCCACTTTTCCAGACCTTTTTATCGATAAAAGTACGTTTACACTACGTGCCTTTGTACGCACATCCCCCTTAACCTCCCATAACTTTATCCAATAGTTTATTAATTTTATGTAATGTGTCGTGCTAAAAGTAAAGATTAATATAATAATGCGTCGTTCTATTTCTCTCCCCGAATTCCCCGAAAACACACACATATTAACAAAATAATAATTCTACATATGTATTATTATTTAGTAGAATTATTATTTTGTATTTTCATCTTCTTTACCAATGTTTAGTCAGATATAATGAAGCTATATCTGAATCATCCGGTAATTATGAATATAAAATGAGAAACACGTTGGTGAAGAAGAATTAACACAACTGATTTGCAACTGATACGTAATTTCTAACCTTTGCTCATATTATCTGCATCGTCAACAAATCCAAAATTTCCGATTTGTCGGATTAACGTGCATAACGACACCACTTGTTCCCACGATGAAATTGTCGGTTAGAGCGACAAATCATTCGAGTAACGAGTCATTTGTCACCACAACGGAGTCATTTGCCGTGCCGCATCGACAAAGCATACGTCGCGGTTATTAGTGTTTCGTTAACCTGATCTGACGAAACCTTTCTTCTTAGTTCGACAGCAGGCCGAGCGTTCAAGTCGGCGAGTGAATATCGATCGAAGCGAAGACGCAACTAGGGATGCCAATTTTTTTCAAACAGATCGACTTAAAGATCGATTCGAATCACGAAAAGAAACATCAATCTTTAAAAAATCGGTTTGTAAAGAATCGATTTCAGAAAATCGATTTGAATCGGTATGCATGTAAAATGAACCACTCATTAAGGTATACTACCTATCAAATTTCTACACTCTAAAGTAGACCTCGTGTGATTCATATAAAGTTTAATATGAATTAAAGAAATTAAACAGATGGTACTCTTTTGGTCGTGTTGTGTGTGTGGCCACAACAAGATAGAAAAAGATCTTCAAATCTTTGTGCTAAGGATTCAATTAGTTTGATTAAACATCAATCAAGGGTTTTTAAACGTTATTAAATAAGAAATCATGTTTACTATTATATGCATATACATATGTATATAAAATATATTGGGTGAGTGCAAAAGTTCGTGCGGAGTTTCAATAGATGGAGTTATAAGCGTCGTAAAGTGTTGTCATTAATACTTCCATCTACATATTATATAACGTTGGAAAGGTGACGTCTTCAGCTGTTATTAAAAAAAAAATCATTTGTTTTCATACAAACTGCTTCGAGAAATATCACTTTAAAAATGAGTATCGATAAGGTGCATTTACGGCATGTTATGCTTTACGAGTTTCGGAAGGGAATAAACGTTGCCGCAGCCATAAAAAACATTCAGGATGTTTATCAGGATGAAGCACCAGCTAAACGAACTGTGGAAAAATGGTTGCTAAATTTCGGCGCGGAGAATTTAACCTTGAAGACGAGCCACGCTCTGGTCGACCTTCTGACATTGATGACGATGTTTTGCGTACTTTAGTGCTCAATAATCCGCGAATTTCAACAGAAGAAGTTGCTACAGCACTAAACGTTGACCGATCAACGCTTCGGCGTTTAAAAAAGATGGGATTCGATTTGAAGCTCGATATATGGGTGCCCATTGCTGACCGAGAACAACAAATCAAGCGAATTTCTGCAGCCGTTTCTTACTCGGGCGGCTCAATAACGAGTCGTTTTTGGATCGACTAGTGACGGCGATGAGAAATGGGTCCTCTACAACAATGTTCAGCGCAAACGACATGGAAACAATCAGGTGAGCATGGTGACGCAATGCAAAAGCAGTTTGCACCGATGAAGGTGATGCTTTCTGTTTGGTGGATTGCAAGGCATAATCTATTTCGAGCTTCTCCCCGCTGGCGAAACGATTGATTCGGACAAGTACTGTCGCCAATTAACCAATCTGAATCGAGAAATAAAAGAGAAACGTCCGATTTTGTCAAATCGCAAGGGAGTCGTCTTTCATCACGACAACGCCAGACCACACGTTTCGAAAAAGACGCTGCGCAAACTGCCGACGACGCTGATTGCGCGTCTGCTTCCCGGCGAAAGCTCCTCCAGCTCGTCCTCGAGACGCGCGTATTGACTCTGTGCCCATAATGTATCGTCGAAAGTACGAAAGGGCATATATTTGTGCAGCGGCGGCCATAATAACGGCGGGACAATGGTGAAAGTGGTCCATTGTTGCCTGCCGGATCCTTCGTTTCGCTATCAATATTATCGTCGGGGGCCGCGTAGGAGGGCTCGTGAAATTGTCTTCTTCTTGGCGGAGAAGGAGGAGAATGAAGAAGAGAAGAATGAGGAGGAGGAGGAGGAGGAGGAGGAGGAGGAGGAGGACCGTTATTACGTATCTCGCGCGCGAAGTTCGCGAAGCAGAGCTATTTCAGGCTGTTGCATTATCCCGCCCGTAAGCGTTGCATAAGCGCTATATATGGAAGTAAAAAAATTGCGACGCCGCCTAGACATTAATCTCCGGCTAATCCGCGGCGCGGCGGCGCGCGATTTCCGATCGATCATTTTAGTCATCGCAATTGCGCGGCTACTCGCAGGTGCGCGCATAACCGCCGGGCGAATTAACGCGCCACCGCGACGCAATTTTCGCGGCCGACTCCTCGGCGCTCCCCTCGTTCTTCCTCATTACGCCTGAGCGAGCTCCTCATTGTCGCCTTGCGCGCGCGGAGGAAGGACGATTCCTCTCTCGTGGGATTGTATAATATATCCTTCCGTCCGCGCGAGAAGGACGCGACTCGACGCGACACGACACGACGCGACGCGACGACGGGGGTGCGACTTGGGCTTCCACGAATAAACCTCGCGGGGGGAACATCTGGTGGACGAAAGTTCGCGAGGCGTTACCGATTTTATGCTTCGCAGACACGGCCGGCCAAGAACGACGAAAGAAGCTGAGAACCGCGCGTGTGGGCGGTTCTCATGTGCGGCTCTCCTTTCCTCGTCTTCCGCGCGTTTTCGTCCGCCAACGACGCCGCTTTTTCTCGCCGACTGCCCGATTCTCGCACGATCGTCTCTCTCTCTTCCTCCCCCTTTCTCTCTCGCTCTCTCTCTCTCTCTCTCTCTCTCTCTCTCTCTCTCTCTCTCTCTCTCTCTCTCTCTCTTTCTCTCACTCTGGTCTCGTGTCTCTCGATTTCACGCAGGCCAGCCGCGATCTCCGAGGCAAACTGACGAGCCCGCGAGTAAACGCGGACGAAGATCCGCGAGTTGTTTGAACAGGACGTTTCAGAAGTAGCTGGCCGGAGCTTCAAGAGCGTATCTTTATTCATCTTTAAGGACCGAGCCAAATCCGTGAAAAGGGCCTGAAGTCCCAAAACTTAAAATCCGTTATATTTCGCTGAAAATCTGTACATGAGGGGTTTTATTGTTGCTGAATACGAATTTCATGTTAAATTCCCGAAATTCAAGATAGCAGATCCAATATAGCGGATCGATCACGATAATTCCCGTATTTCCGAGAAAAATAAATTCATTTCGAGAAAAATCAAACTCCACGTTCAAGTTTTCTAAGTGCCGATTGCAAATTATTCGCAAATGGCATCTGAAAACAAGTTTGAAATATATGTAAAAATTGCAAGGTCGTATTATATAAAGATACATGTTTCGATAAGTACCGTGAACTGTAGAAAAATAGTGGAAAACTTCGATAATTGAACAGGAAAGAAAAAAGACGGAGGAATGAGAAAGATGATAAAAGACATTGAAGAATGAAAAATAACGAAAAAACTAGGAAAAATGGAAAGGAAATGAAAATGATGAAAAAATGAAAAAAAGAAAACAAAAAATTAAAAAAAGCACCAAAAAGAATAAAAAACAAAAGGACGAAAAAATGGGATGTTAAATCCAATTGTCAACCTCCTCGAATCCACAAAATACTTATGGGGGATGCATCCTAGGGAGTACATTTTCAACAAATGTATTCGCGAATATGTGTGTGTGTGTGTGTGTGTCAAGGGTAAGAGTTTTTTGCTTATATATAATCCGTCATATTAGATTCACCAATGTCAATTTCTGAATTATAATGGAATTCATATTTAGCACCCCTGAAAATCTCTATAAAAGTAATAGCAAGATCATACATATATTCTTTCGAAAAACCCCGTGTTGCCACAGTATTGACTCCGCCATATTGATTTAGCCACTCTGAATTTCGAAAATCTGATGCCAAATTCGTACTCAGCAACCCAAAAAACACAAGGTCTCGCCAGAACTCATTTTTTTCAGATTTTTTCAGCCTCAAGACGGTCATATATTTCACGACAAAGATTCACAGAAAATCGAAAAAAGACCGTTTTCCGAGTGGCTATATTTCGTTTACGATGCGGAAAATGGAAAAACTGGCTGCGTCATTGCGTTCACCGAGCTTGGAAACATCCAGTAACACTCTTTGTCATTATTTAGAACACGCCTGGACTTCAGCATAGTAAAATGTTTCATGGCTTTTCTCGGTCTTTTGGGCAAATTCCTAAATGACAAAGATCTTTGTTATCGGTTCTTAAAGAATTACGGGCGAAAGGAGACTCGTGTAAACATGGACCCGGGAACGCTCCCCTTTTCAAGTTGTAAGCAGTTTCTTGTCGTGAACAAAAGAAGTGTTTATCAGTCGGGAAGAAAGCGTCCCCGCCGCCATGTCCGCATGGGAACCTTTTTCATGCTCACGATGAGTAGAATATGCTAAATTGTTTGATAAATCTTTTATCTTAACTCTCCAGCGCTCAAATAAAGATCGATAATCTCTGTATTTACTGATCGATATGCGCTGATCCCG